CTTTCACAAGGTGAAGCTAGCATCCTCTCCTACTGGGTCTGAGAGGGCCTAAGACTACTTCCAAGAGCACCAGGAGAAGAGAAGCCATATGACAGAAGAGTAGCTCACACCAGGCCCTGCAGCTTCTGTCTCCCTGGAACACGGAGCTACCATGCAGGAACTGTAGCTGCCTGAGGCTGCCAAGATGGAAAGGCTGCCCATAGGCTCTCCACTGGGCCAGACACCTGAATGAGGAAGCCGTCTTGGAAGCAGACCCTCTGATTCTAACTGTGGCAGTCCCTGGCTTTTCGTTTCTTTCTAGCTGTGCTGAAGATAGACAGCAGAGCCAAGCCATCCTGGCTGAGCACTGTCTGACTTCTGACTCAGAATCCATGAGCAAAATCAAAGGGTTGCTGTTTTATGTCAGAATAGAGATCCACAACTGAACTGAATAATCTCTAGATGACTGTCAACTTTAGGTAAGAGAATCCAAAGACTAAAAAGACTTAGGGTCCTGGCCCTAAGTAAGGAACTTACAATACACCTGAACACATGAACAGATGGACTCTATTCTTCAGGGATAAGAGTTGGGTAATAAATATATCTACTTGAATTTCAGTGTTTTTAACCAAGACTAGCAGAAGGTAAGACTATTCATCATGTATCTATCTGTTCAATGGGCTATAAAAAAAATCAAATAAAACCTTGTAGTTTAACTTTAAAAAATTTTTATATTCATTTACTTACTATGTGTATGCATATATACACACATATATATGGGTATATTCATGCCACAGCATACATGTGGAGGTCAGAAGACAAGTCCTTCCACCATGTGGGTTCTATAGATAAAATGTAGGTAGTCAGGCTTGGTGGCAGGTGCCTCCTGCTGAGCCATCTCGACGGCCCCATAATTTAACCTTTTTCTGTTTGTATACCCTCTAATCACTCTTGTTTATATCAGACAAATCATCATCCTCTTCTAAACATCCACCCTTTATTGTATCTTTCATAGAACAGGTCTGAGACACTTTGGAAATAGTTAGATTAGTAACTTAAACGTTAATAAGCACACCTGGAAAGTGGCTCTTCAAAGAAATATAATTGCTTAACCTTTATCAACCTGTAAATAATAGCTTGCCTTGCCCAAATGTATAATCACACAAATGGTTTCATAGAAAATACTAGGAATACTTCAGGAACGTTACATTTCTGTGTGCATGTTAAATTTCAGTGAAAGTTATACCTCCTTGCTCTCAGAAAAACGTGAACTGAGAATTCATTCAGTCTCTCTAGATCCCCTAAGATATGTTCAAGGGTGTGCTGGATAGCTTTAGTGTCAACTGGGGAGTTTCCTTCATTGGGCTGGCCTGTGGCCATGTCCATGGTGCACCTTCTTGATTGCTGAGTGATGTGGGAGAGCCCAGCCCACTGTGGGTGGTGTCACCCCTGGGCAGGTGGGTCTGTGTTGGAAAAGAAAGCAAGCTGAGCAGGGGCCAGGGGAGCAAGCCAGTAAGCAGCATTCCTCCATGGCCTGTGCTCCAGCTCAGGTTCCTGCCCTGAGTTCCTACCTTGGGCTCCCTAATGAACTGTGACCTGAGAGATGTAAGCTGAATAAAACCGTTCCTCCCCAAATCGGTAGTGGTCAGAGTATTTTGTCACAGCAATGGAGAAACAAACTAGTACAAAGGGTCAGGAACCCTATATTCTAATAATAGCTCTATTGAGACAAATAAGAAGCCTAGTATAAAAATGTCACAATGAAACCCATTACTTTGTATGGTAACTAAAATAATTAGTAAAACATGTATTATGGGGGTGGGGTGAGAATTAGAAGCCTAAACTAAACTATTCTTCAGTGATAATTAGGCTTAATCTAGATTAGTATATTCAAAAGTCTGGTGCTAGTTCCAGGAGGTCTCTGGTAGGTAGTTCAGACTCTGCCTGCTGGTGACAGAAGACACACTGAAACTTAGGCCACATTATAGGCTTTTTTGAAAGCTTAACTAGTTTTTCTTAGTTACTAGTTTTAGACATAGTTTGTGTCTAAGCAGTTTCTCTGTGAATCTATTTCTAATGTTTTAACTACTTTTTTTTCTTTCAGTGTAGGAAATTGAATACAGTATCTAAGATGATGTTTACTGATACTGAGCTATACCCTTAGCCCTTATGTCAACAAAATACTACCCTCTCAATCCTCCTGCCTCAGCTTCACCATTCTTAATTCCTCTAATGGATATACATTGATGCTTTTGAACAGAATTAAACACAGATGTGACACAAGTCATGTGCATATGAAATCCTGACTACTACCTAGCCTGTGACTGGAATTATGGTAGAGTCACATGGTATACAAAAGATAAATAATAACAAATTTTAAGTCTATCAGGACATACTTTGGACACAGGATTTGGAGCAATGGAACTGGAACTGACTGGAAGCCATGTCCCCTGAAGGCCAGCTCTCAAAGCTTTGGAGAGCACTACACAAGCTAGTGAGGGAGAACATCAATCAATGGTCCAATCCCAGCTTCAAGGCCTAAAAACTACATCAATGATTGGCACAGCAAATGACATTGTTGTAGTAGCAGCACTTTTATCTTGGGGGTAATCAACAGCTACCTAATTGGACTTAAAGTCCACTCAACAGGAGGAAACTCGTGTGGTACTGTAAACCTAGCCAAATACACATAGCTGGGGAGGTCATAGATCTTAGATAAAACCCCAAGGCTGTCACATCCCTAGGCAAACGTGATTTCTTATTATGTGCAAAATATGGATGCATAAATTTATAGACAAGTATCCCAGTCACCATCCATCCAAGAAGTTTCTTTTTCAACAGACATAGATTATTACAGAGTTCCACAACTGGTCACACACAGAGACTGTTTGTGAATTTCCCAAGTCAAAGTGGCACATCTACGAAGCAATTTCTACACCTAAGGCTTATTGAACATAGAACAAGGGATGAAGATAATACACTAATGCATATTTCAGTTCTCATTAATGAAGCTCCCTCATGCAACAGAAGGCCAGGAACACAAAAGGTCACAAATGGCCAAAACATAGAAAAAAGAGTCTACAGAGTCCTTGGACAGGTCTCTTATATTAAAATCTACCCACCCAAGGGCTCAGGGACCATTTCGGAAGAGCCAGGAAGGAGGTGCATGACATATGCAAATACAGTCCTACAGGTTCCTAGAACTCTTCTCATATGAACCTACAGCAATGGTGTCAGCATGCATAAGACCCATGCAAACTCAAGCAGACAAAAATCCAGCACAGAACTGTGGAAATGGACAGCAGGCCCCAACCTTAGTTGAAGAATTATTGGCAGCTGATTACTGTTGGGTAAGAAAGAGCTGATCTTAAAGAGAGGAACTATAGACAGGCCAACTAGACCTCAGTGGATGAATTTGCACTGAGGGATATCTGGGAACACTAACTTGACATGACAGGCCTTAACACAAATGATAGAATGTATGAATTCCACTGTGGGGGCTATGGGAGGGTGCCAATGGGGAAGGGAGTATAACAATGATTAAGATGTTCTATATGAAATACACAAAAATTCAATTAAAAATTTAAAAAATATAAGTTTAACTATACCATTAACTAGTTCAAAATCTGTGATGTTGGAAAATAAAGGGATTAATCCATCAATTTCATGATTTAATGTGTGACTATATAATTCTAAGTCCTATAATTTTTTATCTAAATATATGATATGCAATACACTGTTAAGAGTCAAAATTACCAAACAAGTTGCTTCAACTGATTTTTTTGAAATCAATACATTTATTTCTGTCACTTTATGTGATTCTATAGACATGAATTGGATTTTAACCCTTCCTAAGAGTTGACGTAATTTTATTATTTGCATTTATTTATGTGTGTGCATATGTATGTGTGGGGGGCATGTGCCACAGTGCATGTGTAGACGTCACAGGACAACCTTCAGGAGTTGGTTCTCTGTTTCCACCATGTGGGTTCCAGGGATTGAATTCAGGTGTCAGGCTTAGTGGCAAGTGCTTTTACCTGCTGAGCCATCTTGCTGGTTCAGGTTTACATAATTTTAAAGGCCAAGTTTCTTACTAAAATTAAACATAAGACTCGTGAACTAAGTAGATAAATAAATTACATTTTACACAAATGTTTATTAGAATAAAACTTTCCATTAAATGTTTAGTTTTATAATTCCTAGTTCCTCCTCAGCCAAGCCTCTGAACACAGAATCCTTAAGATCTCAGCAAACTAAATCATTCCACCTATTTCTATACTTTTTTCCCAATAAAATTACCATTTTTATTGGTTGCATAGTAGCCTATTGAGCTGATGTTCTATGGTATATTTAAGCCTTCATCACTTTAATTAGACTGACTCCAACTTATATAAGTATTCGTAATGTTGCAGTAGGCATCTTTATGTACAATTTTTCCTTGCATTGGATTTTTCCTTAGGAGAATATACTAGATTAAAGGGTATTCATGGGGCCAGAAGGATTGCTGCTCTTGCAGAGGACCTGGGTTCAAATCCTAGCACCCACATTGTGGCTAACCACTGTCCTAACTCCAGTTCCAGGGGATTCAACGCCCTCTTCTGACCTCCTCAGGCATTGGACAACATGGGTACACTTACATACATGCAGGAAAACATTCATACACATAAAATAATACATAAATAAAGGGTATTCACATTCAGCTTATTTTTTTAAAACCAAACTCCCTTGTAAAAAGAATCTATCATTATATCCTAATTCCCATTTGAATTTAAATTACATGGTATAGCAACAAAAATATTAACAGGTATAAATGGACTTGCTCGTTGTAGTTTTTATATTCATGCTTTTGAGAAATCTTAACATTAAATACTGATCAATGGAATTTATCATGTCTTATTTGATTTGTCCATTTATTTATTGGTGCTTCATTTTTTATTGTTTTTTAAATTTTCTGAGACTTTGATTAATTCACCCCTTTTATAACACTTCCTTAACTCCCCCCCCCATACTTTTGTGCTTACCTGTTTTTAAGATGCGCCTCTAGGTCACAGCGTTGCATTACGTCTTGGCACACTGAAGAAAATGGACACAAAACTAATAATTTGTCTAGAAGTTTATGAACTAGAATGCTAGATTTCTTACATAACTTGAAATGAAGTCTCTTGCGGTCCAATGGACAGAAGTCTTTCTCTTGTAAAAAGTTTCTGAGGCACTTGTAGCAGAACGTGTGTCCACAGGGCGTATCGAGCGGCTGCAGCAGAGGCTGAAGGCAAATATGGCAGACGAGGTCATCATCCACTTCATCCTGGTAATTGTATAAGTGGTTTTCTCTTGTCCAGTGCTGCTGGCCACATTCAAAGCACAGGGGGTTTAGGGAGGATGTGGATGTCTGCTCCACAGACCCCATCTCATCACTTGTTGTTCCCATTTTGAATCAGCAGTTTCTGTATCCTCATGGGTCAAAACTTCCACTGAAAGCTTGGATTCCACCAAAGGGGTTATCTGTCTACAGCCAAGGTCTGCTTTTCTAGGTAAACAGAACAAATAAAAGTAATTAGTATTAATTAAGATAGGTAAAAATGTCAATAAAATACTCAATTTTAGCAAAAACAATTGTTCATTAGAGCAGGAAACAAAATAGTAATTAAAAGTAATGAAGTAAATCCATTTGCTAGTTAAGAATGACTTAATACTGCCAAGATCTTGATGAGAAAAGAACTTAGGATCAAAACCAAAGATGCCACTTATTATATGGTACAACATATGTTATATGGTATAACATAAAAATGGTTCATTAGCTTTAATGACTGAAATTTCCAAATACCTCACTGTCCAATGGTAACTTTAAAGCTTATTCATCTCCCAGGTATGCCTACAGTGCACTCTGTGGAATACTATGTAACCCATTTGCATTTGTCATCCCAGTTAGGGCTCTTTGCTTTGGACTGATCTTAGGCTAGGCATTTGTGATCCTATAATAAAGGTAGTATTTGCTAAATACAGTCAGGATAATTTGGTTTATTAAATACTCTGCAAAACACATATGATTTGAATATTTTCCTTGTATGACAGATGAAAGACACATCTCATCACATATAAAAATAACATTTGTGCAAGCTCTAAATATTATTCCACTAAAAGAGAAAAATGCTATAATTCAATTAAACATGTTAAGACAGGTTATAAATTAATTTCACCTTATGTTACTGCATACCTCCACCTGGTCTTGCTTACTCAGAGCAGGTGTTGTGTATATGTGCATGTGTCTTCACTGACACAAGATTTACAGTATCATCCACCAGTGTGGTGTAAGCTGGACAGAGAATGCTTTCATTCTGTAAGAGCTTCCATACTTGCTGCTAGGGCATCAAGGGTTAAAAAATCAACTCCAAAGGCAACAGCTCTCTATCTCCCCTCTGTAAATATTTACAGAGCCTCCAATGTATATGAAACATTGAACACAGGCAAAGGAGAGACAGGGAGAGAACTATAAAAACTCATCATTAAAATTGCATGTAATAAAAATGTAAGAGTTGCACACAGGATATTATGTATGGGAAAGACTGGGAGAACTGACATTTAATTCTGTTTGGCTTTGTGGCTGGAAATGCTTTCAAAAGGGTAAAAAACTATACTTCTGAATAGTAGTGACAGGAAGCATCTGCCAGAGCCATGATTGGGAGGGGGCGAATAAGGGAGAGCATCACCAGGAGTCGGGGCTGGAGGGCATACACACAGCCAAGAAATGTGAAACACCTCATGCAGGGGCAGGGGTCCTTAAAACTTGGGAGTCCCTGCTCAAGAACAGAAAGAGCAGAGTACCACATGGGTTCTACTAGAGTTGCTATTTCAGTAACATTTTCTCCCAACTATGTATTTGTTATTTTTAAAAAATTGTATGCACTATTTTGCACATGTGTGTATGTAGAGGTCATGGAGGAAAACTAGTAGGAGTCAGTTTTCTCCTCTTATCATGTGAGTCTGAAATATTGAACTCAGGTCATGCCTACCCTCTGAGCCATGTTACTAGGTATTTTATTTAGAGTATTTATTTTATTTTATTTCATTTCTTCAGTCTTTTTGAAACAGGGTCTCCCTGTAGCCCCAGCTGGCCTGGATTTGCTATGGAGACCAGGCTGGCCTCAAACTCTGCCTCCTGAGTGCTGGGATTAAAGGCGTGAGCCACCATGCCTGGTATAGAGTATTTATTTTAAAAACATCAAGTTGGGCCAGAGTTACACATACCTGTAACACCAGCACTTGGGAGACTGAGGCAGAAGAACTGCAAGTTCAAGGACAGCCTGGGCTACATAGGAAGACTATGTCTCAAATCCAACTACAAAAATAAATAAAAATGAAAAACAATAAAATTCTGATTTAATAATGGCTATGTATGGAGGGGATAGGATTCAGGTAGGATAGTTTGACCTGGCCTCAGATAAATCTTGTGTTTGAAAACTAGTGAAATAATAGCACCTGTTATCCTAACTCTTCATTATCAACATCAAGACAGTATTTCCTATGCTTGGCAATGCACAGCTCTTGTTCTTCACCATTTGACCATGGTAACTATTTTAAATGTCAGTGCAAGATAAGTGAGATTAAGGAGAGAAACAGCACACATTACAGGTTAGGTATTTCATGAATACAAAATTTCTACAGGTTCTTGTTTCCCACTTAGTCTGCAATACAATCCACATATCCTCTGCTCTATTTTGTTGTTATAGTGTTAATTCTAATGTTTCTTTTCCTCAAGAAGATATATGGTAGTTTGAGCCTCCCACATAATGACTAAGAAAACATTTATCTTAAGACTATTATATTTTAGCTATTCTCTAAATCTCTAAATAACTTTAGTTCTTTATTTTCATTTTATCACAAAATCTTTTCATGAGGAAAATTAACATGATGCCATTTAAACAACTACATTATCTCCACCCCCCCAAAATTTCTTTGCTACCATAAAATAAACATTCAATGGAAACTAAACTTTCTGCATAAGCAGTTAAGATCTTGCACAGGGTCTTCCTGTAGCCACAGCTGGCCTGGAGCTCACTATGTAAATCAGGTCGGCCTTGAACTCAGAGATCCACCTGCCTCTGCCTCCCAAGTGTTGGGACTAAAGGCATGTGGCACCACGCCCAGCAAACATTCTATAATTTTGATTTCAGGTATTATCTATAATACCTATAAGAAGTTCAGATAAATCTTAAACATTTCCAAAAATACAGAGATAAAATGTATAATGTATTTCTTTACAAATACATTACCTAAATGTTTAGCAATATTACAGGAACAGAAAAGAGAAAAACTATCAAATTGGCTGAGATCATGACAGCAAATTTAAAATAACATACTGAAAGCAAGCCAATGCAATGGAAAGGGTGGTTAAGACATTGTTCATACTTAACTCCACTCCTGATGAACACACTTGCTCTTCCTGGTTCTATGGAACAAAAATATCCTGGTACACCGCTAATATTTCAGAAGCCTACAGTTTTTACCACCATCTAAAGCTATAGATTTTCAGATACATCTCTTGATGTCACACTTGACTGAGATTTAAGGAGTCCTCACTGGCCCTAGCCTAAGAGACCCAGAGCAGGGAAAAGATTATGAATTAAAAGTTGTCACCAATTGCGCTGAAGGGGGAAACATCTGTGGTCTTTTTGGCTCATCTAGGCTCAGCATCTAAGAACGTCCTCTCCTCTCATCTTCCTGGCAAATGCCTCATGACCCCCTCCTCTGCAGAGTCTCCTTCCTAGAGCCTGCTCCTGGTGTGCCATATTCCCTGTCAGCTCTCCCAGTCTCTTTGCACACACCTTTATTTTAGCAACTTCTATATGGTCTGTCTGCTTATCTTATCTCTTCCTGGAGAGGAAAGATGGTGTCGTTTCTGTATTTCCTGTTTCTACCTTTTTGGCAACTTTTATTCAATTTGTTCTTTGACAATTTCATAAATGCATGCAGTGCATTCTGCTTACTGTAGCTTCTACCCTCCTTTGTTCTCCCTTCCACCCATTATACCTGTCCGTACAAGTTCCCTTCCCACATTATGGCTTTTTGTTCTGCTTTGTGACCTGCTGAGTTTAACCAGGGCCAGCTGTGTGACCATGGTTGGGACCTATCCACTGGGGTCTGGTGAGTTCATTAGGGGGTACACAACTAAAGACAGTGGCTTGTCCTTCCTCCCCCAGAATCATCAGTGGCTAATAATAGTTCAGTAGGGATCCATGATTAACTGTAGACAGGCCCAGCTTTGTTCAGGCCCTGTGCAGGCAACTGAAGTCATTGTGAGATCATGACCACATTGGCTGTGTCATGTCCAGAGGACAGCATTTCATAGCCCTTCTCCCTGTCTCTGTACATGCTTTTCGACTCCTCTTCTGCACCGCTCCCTGTGCTTAGATCGGGTGGGATAAATGACCCATTCAGGACTGAGCACTCAGCATTCCCGTATTCTCAACACCATGAGCTGCCATGCATCTTGGCATCCACTGCCATTCACTACTCTCTGATTAAGGTTGAAAGTACCATTTATCTATGGGTATAAACATAATAGGAGGCAGCTTGGCCATGCTAATATAGCCAAGCAACGGTGGGAAGTTCCCCCATTTCCAGCTCCACTTCTTGGCACATATTATTTGCTAAAAGAAAACATTCTCAGGCTCAATGTGAGCCTGAAATATATAACTATATAAATACGCAAGAGAAAGCTGCATTTATTTGTGGCATTGAAGAGCAATTAACATGTAGGACCCGACCCTGTAATTTACAAAGAACAAGTATTACTCCCTTTAGTTTTCCCTTTAGCCAAGAGAAACATCCTTGCTTCATGCTATCAACACAAGAAAACCTGCTTACATTACGTGTCAGCTCTGAGAGCTGCCTCTCAGAGAAGCAGTGACATAGATTTTCTCACCTCAGGATCTCATCAGCCACTTTGGAAAAGCTTGGCAGCTTCTTAAAGGGGGAAAAAAAAGGATAATGTGCAGGAGAGACGGCTCAGCAGTATAGAACACTGGCTACTCTTGCAGATGACTTGGGTTTTCGTTCCCAGCACCCACATGAAGGCTAATAACTATCCCTAAATCCAGTTCCAGGGGATCTGATGCCTTCTTCTGGCCTCTGTGGGCATTGCACAACATGAGTGCACTTACAGACATGCAGGCAAACACTCATATACATAAAATAACAAAAATAAACAAAAAGGATTTTTTAATGTGCAACTACCTTAGGACACCAGAGCTACACTCCTAGGCACTTATCCCAGAGAAGGGAAAAACTCATGTTCTACAAATGTTTACAGCAATTCCATTTGTAATAATAGTCAGAAGTTAGGAATGACCCACAGATCCCCCAACAGGTGACCTGCTAAGCAAACCATGACACATCTGTACCATGAAATATTACTCAGCAATAAAAAGGAATGGACTATTGATGCATACAACTCACTGGCTCTTCGAAAATTAAGTGACTCCAAAAAGTTGGTATTGAAAGTTACATTCTAAATAAACAGAAAGTTTC